TTTGACTTCTGTATGTCTTTTGGATCAGCTACCGTGACGCTACTTGGATATTGGCATGGTCGATTTGGTTGTTGACAACAACAAGAAGTCGGGGGCCAGTTCAGAAAGGTCACAGTTGGGTACCTTAGGGGCTGAAGTCCAATAGGCGCACCCGATGAACAGTCACATCCCAGAGGCAAAGGTTGCGTTCTATAAGCAAAAGTCACGTCTCATATAGAAAAGTCATGTCCCACGGGCAAAGGACACTTCCCCAGGCAAAAGTTTGTGTCCCAGAGGCAAGAGTCACATCCCGCATTCGAAAGATTTTGGGATTAACCACAATGCTCCTAATCCGGTACATAATTCATCTTCCATGTTGTCTTCTTTCTCTTCAGTACATGATTGGAGAGGAAGCTGTCACCTGGTCATAGGTTGAGGCCAGGTTCACTCTGTAGAGGGGTGCATGCACCTCATACAATACAGAGTTCAGCTTCCGTGTTGTCTTCTATCTCTTCAGTACATGATTGGAGACGAAGCTGTCACCTGGTCATATGTAGAGGCCAGGTTCACTCTGTAGAGGGGTGCAAGCACCTCATTCATACAGTACATAATTCATCTTCCATGTCGTCTTCTTTTCCTTCAGAATATGATTGGAGAGGAAGCTGGCACCTGGTCAATGACAGAGGCCGGGTTCACTCTGTGGAGGGGGTGCATGCACCTCATCAGTACATAAGTCATCTTCCACGCTGTTATTCTTCCTCTTCAGTATATAATAACTGGAGAGGAAGCTGTCACCTGGTCATCGGCAGAGGCCAGGTTCAGTCTGTAGTGGGGTGCATGCATACCTAGTAGCAACGAAGGTTAGGTTCGTCGTTCTTGTCAACTCAATAATGGTGTGCTGCACCTTGACAGTGGCCAGCTATGACTTGGTCATCGGCAGCAGCAAGGTTCATTCTGTTCTGCTTTGAGCTCCATGGCACGGCATGGAACGAGTATTGTGCACATCCATCCCTTGCTCTCTTCCTCCGAGTAGAAAGCGCGGCCGTTATCGTCGTATCTAGACTGAAAGTTGCCCCAAATGCAGCTAGGATGACTGCATTCTATTTGGGGGAAAAGAGTACCCAGCGACCAAGTGCCGGGAACTCAGCGTAGTGAATTGCGCATTGGCCGCCGTATCTAGACTGAAAGTTGCCCCAAATGCAGCTACAATGACTGTGTATTGTATTCGGGGGAAAAGAGTAGCCAGCGACCAAGTGCCAGGAACTCAGCGTAGTGAATTGCGCACAGGCCGGTGGCGGCACGATAACCTCAGAAGCGCTGGGCTGCAGCGACTGACGGCGAAATCTGACAGGCCAATTATGAACTTTTGGGTGCGCACTGTTTTGTGTTTTTGCGTTTAGGGGTGCACTTAGCGCCAGATATGTGGCTTCGTGTCTGCAGCCGGGAAATTGTTAGAGGCACAGGGATCATGACAGACATGCCGCACCTGCCCACCTTCCAACGTCGGGCCTTTCCCATATGCCCCCTTCTACGAGAGGATTGTGCCTTCCGTCTTCACCCAAATAGAACGCCTGGTCATCATAGCCGTATTTGGTTCGATGTCCAGTTGAAATACAGCTATAATGACTAGGCGTTCTATTTGGGTGAAGATGGTAGGCACCATGGTGCCTGTAGTAGGGAAATTGTCAGAGGGCCAGGGGGGCTGACAGAGCTCGTATCTGCCCTCCTTCCAACACAAGGTGGTTCTGCTAGCGCGAGTGATAAGAGCACCCCCCTCTAGCAGGCCCTTCCCTAGATGCTCCGGTCTATTGGTGCGGAGCACATCGCAGCGCCTGCTGGAAACCGGGTCCAGCGTCCCGTTATACAATCCTTCCTTCCAACTCCTTCCCCGGGGCTATTACCCGGTGTTGGCATCCGCCCGCCCCCCTCATAGACAGATCATGGCTTTCTCATGACAGCCGCAGGGCCTCTTCAGCTCTCTATGGCCGCCCCGCCGGATTGACAGAAGTTCACAGAAGTATCACTCGCTGCGTTCTCTGCCTCTTTGGATTGTCTCAGCTGCTGCCGCCACTGTACCACTGCAGATCCACCATCGACCGCTGGCGGGGAGGGAAGAGGTCTGGGAACTCTGATGGAGGCCGCAGCGGTACATCCGACCTATAGGAACACTGCTTGTTTCTTCTTTTTTTTTCCCTTTTTTATTTTATTTTAATATTTTTCCCTTTTTTTTCTTTTTCTTTTTTGAAAAAAGACAGGTTGTAGTAGAGGTTGGATGTTTTTTAGACATGTGACATTCACCTTACCTTCGGTAATCGGCCGTTTAGTTATCAGCCGGTATATACTAAAGAATATAGACGCCGCTATTCGTTATGAGACGCCCGCCCAACACCGCTTGTGTTTCTTCAATGTGCCTCTCAAGCAGTTGGCCGCTTTGGGCATACTCTCTCCGAGTCTCTTCCGACACTCTTCCGACACTTGGTTTTCCCACACAGCGCCCCGTCTGATTCCAGTATATCATGAATGTGGCCCGACGACCTGTCCAGGAGGAGGAATTCTCAAGAACCATCACACAAGCTCTCAAAATGGGCCCCCTTGTAAACGAAAAAAAAAAAAGAAGGGCAACATTGCCTCAGAATTTCAGAAGCCATATGTACTCTCCACCTTCCCCTCCCCTCCTCTCCTCTCTCTTTTTTT